GGAAAACTGTAGGACTAAATTATTTAGAAAATTTTCAGCCTCTCCAGATGGCAAAAGAGGCTAAAAATCAGAATGGCTACTGAAAATGTGGCATAGAGAAAAGACTGAGTATGTGACTGCACAATCTTTTGTTAAAACCTCAGAAAGATCAAAAGCTCAGAACGTTCAGTCACACAAAGGGCCCTTTTAAGAGATAAAGAGTGTGTGCATGTCATGGATCTTCTTGACTACACCAGGGGCATCCAGGAAGCTTAAGGTCATTATCACTCAGCCTTCTCAACAGGAGGCCAAGAGAGAAAAGGGATTTGTTTGAAAAAATCTAGTGGATGTGGCTTCTGCCTAATGGAGTGAAAAGCAGTGAATCCATGAAAGACCACAAAGTTCTTGAGAATTATCTCAGCAGAAATCCTGCCAGCTGGGGGACTTCCCTGGTGATCCAGTGGCTAAGATTCCATGATCCCAATGCAGTGGGCCCAGGTTTGATCCCTGGTCAGGGAACTAGATCCCGCATGCCACAACTAAGACCCTGCACAGCCAAATAAATATATAAATAAATAAATATTAAAACAACAAAAAAAGAAAAGAAATCCTGCCAGCTTGGACTAAATGGGACAGAGAGAGAGAACAAAATGAGAACAGGAGGTTGGACACCCAAAATTCTACTGGTGGGAAGCAGGCTCACAAAACTACTCAGCTGCAAACGTGTGTTACTTTTCACAAAATAGTAAGGATGACAAGAAGGTGGAACCACGTGCCCAGAGGGAAGAGCCAAAAGCCCCTGATGATTATTCCCAGGTCTTGAAATTGAATCAAGAAAAGTCAAACATTTACCTGATTTCAAATCAATTATGGACCCATGACTCCTTTTGACTTTCATTTCCCCCTGCTTGAGCCAGAATATCTATAAACATTATCCTATGCCTTCCTACCACTGTATGTTGGGAGTATTGGGGTGGATAAATGGCCTCTTCAGTGTAACAGATGGAGAGCAACCGTGTCCTAGCAGCTGCATATACTGAAATGATACCCAGGAGCTGCACCTGTACCTGATTTAGATTTTGGACTTTTAGCTGATGAGATTTAGATTTAGATGATGAAAATTTAGACTTTGAACTCATGCTGTAATGAGATGAGACTCTTGGGAACCTTGGGAGGGAGTGAATGTATTTTGTGTGTAAGGGATGTGAATTATTGGGGATCAAGGGTGCACAGTGATAGGCAGAATTCTAAGATGACCCCCCAAGATTCCTGCCTCCTGGTACACATGCCGAATATAATCCCCTCCCCTTGAGTATGTGCAGGATCTGTGAATATGATGGCATATCACTCCAGAGAAGGAATTACCTGGATGTAATTAAGGTCCCTATTCAGTTGACTTCTGAGTTAACAGAAGGAAGATTATCCTGGGTCAGCCTGACTAGATCAAGTGAGAACTTAAAAGAGATAAGAATCAGCAACAGAGACTCTCTTACTGGCCTTGAAGAAGAAAACTGTCATGTTGTGTAGAAGGCCATATGGCAGGGAATGGAAAAAGGCCTTTTAGAGCTGAGGTCCTCAGTTCTACAGCCTCAAGAAATTGAATTCAGCCAACAATCAGTGAGATCACAGATGAGATCACAGCTGTGGTGGACACCTTGACTGAAGCCTTGGGAGACTCTGAGCAGAGAATCCAATCAAGCCATGTGCAAGGGATTTCCCTGGTGGCACAGCACAGTGGTTAAGAATCTGCCTGCCAATGCAGGGGACATGGGTTCGAGCCCTAGTTCGGGAAGATGCCGAGGAGCAACCAAGCCTGTGTGCCACGACCACTGAGCCTGCGCTCTAGAGCCCACAAGCCACAACTACTGAAGCCCGAGCACCTAGAGCCCATGCTCTGCAACAAGACAATCCACCACAATAAGAAGCCTGCGCACCGCAATGAAGAGTAGCTGCAGTAAAGACCTGCTCGCCGCAACTAGAGAAAGCCCGCACGCAGCAATGAAGACACAACGCAGCACCCCCCCGCAAAAAAAAAAAAAAAAAGCCATGTGCAAACTTTTGACCCACAGGAACTGTAAGATAGTATATTTAATGTTTTAAGCTGCTAAGTTACAAAGGCTTCAAAGCAGCTACTAAAAATATATTCAAATAATTAAAGAAAACTATAATTAAAGAACTAAAGGATAATATGCTAACAATGAGTCAATATATAGGAAATCTCAACAGAGAAACAGATACTACCGAAAAGAACCAAATGGATATTCAGAGTTGAAAAAAATGACTACAAAAAATGACTACTGGAATAAAATGACTACATAGCTCAACAGTTTGATTTGACAGAAGAAGTCAGTGAATTTAAAGATAGGTCATCAGAAATTATCCAATTTGAAGAACAGAGAAAGGGGCAGAAAAAATATTTGAGGAAATTATGGCTAAAACCTTCCCAAATTGATTTTTAAAACATTAAATTACATTCCAAGCTCAATGAACTCCAAGTATAATAAATACAAATCACATTTACACATAACTTAAACTGCTGAAAGACAAAGAGAACATCTTAAAGGCAGCAACAGAAAAATGATTCATCCCATACAGGTAACAAAATGATTAATGGATGACCTCTCAGTCAAAACAATGGTGACACTATGGTAGTGTAATCCCAAATTCACTGTGCTGAAAGAAAAAAATCCTTGTCAACTAGCATTCTATATCCAGCTAAACTACCTTTCCAAAAACTGAAAGCATAATAAAATCATTCCCAAATAAATAAAAACTGAGAGAATTTATTGCTAACATATCTATCCTAGATGAAATACCAAAGAAAGGCCTTATACTGAAAGAAAATTACACCAGAGGGTTACTCAGATTCACAGGAAGTAATGAAGAACATGGAAAATGGTACATAGATGGGTAAATATAAGAGACTGTGTGTATATTATATGTGCATATTTTTTCTTTTTCTCTTACTATTTAAAGCAAGACCTAAACCACTCTGTTACTGAGTTTATAACATATAGATATAACATATATGTCCATAATAGCACAGGGGAGGAGACAGGAGCTATACTGATACAAATTTGCTAAATTTTACTCAAATTAACTCAATACTAAGAATGACGAAGATTGTAATAAATCCAGGAAGCATAATATAATCCCTTAGGGCAACTGCTAAAAAAGTAACTAAAAAATATATCTGAGAACTTAACAGAGGACATTCTTATCCATATCATGCAGATGAGGAAATGAGTGCTAGCAGGTGAAGCAACCTACCCCAGAAGGGGCTGGCCCCCAGGATCCTGACTCCATACAACAGGACTGGAGGCCAATCCATACCTTCCAGTGGGGCAGGTGGAGACCTACCCAGGCTGAGACTCCTCATCCATTAGTGAAGGGAAGATTCCTCAAAATATTGTAAATTGCCTTACAGTCTGAAAATATCTTCCTGGACACCCTGAATATTTTTATTAGTTCTTCCATCCTAAAAATTACCACATAGAAACTGCTGGCGAGAGTAAGAGGGATGACTTCTCAAGCAAAGCTAATTACTGGCAGTGTCCAGTGAACACACCCAAAAATGCCTGTGTAGACTCCCAGCACTCATTATGAATTTGATCAGCATTAATTTTCTGTCTGCCTGAACTGTCTTCCTATACCCTGGGAGGGGCTGACACCCCTTCAGTGGAGCTCAGACTGACACTGCAGGAAGGGCGGGAGGAGGGGGCAGGGCAGGACTTCTTACCTCCATTACAGGCCGAGGGGGCATCTCACCTGCTTTATAAGTTACCACAATGGAGGAGGGAAGCTTTGGCCTCACAGCATATTACATTTACAGGAAAACTGAGCTGTGCTGGAAGGAGTTCATATCGTATTCCTGCCTGCTGAGGAGCTATTTAATCCTGTAAAGATAAAATAACTAAATTATTTAATATTTATTTTTGAATAAACACCTACTGATGTTTACTGTGCTTCACATTTTATAAAGTGCATTTTTTAAAACAGAAATTTAATGAACCCATACTGTATGCCAGGGACTAAGCTAAGCCCTCACCTGCTCTGTTATTTAATCCTCACAAGTGCCCCACAAGCTTGGTTTCATTATTCTCATTGCACAGATGAAGAAACTGAAGTTCAGAGTGGTTAAGATGTATCAGATTGATCCAAGCCAGGTCAACTGGATTTGTTCCTGGCTAATTGTTAAACTTCATCCCTCAAAGGGGAATGTGTAAAAAAGAGCCTGAGACAAAATTTCATGCTTTTTAATCAACTGAAGACATGTGTCATCTCTCATATATGACTGGCTGCAAAGACAAAGATTGGCGATATTCTTGCTTTTTTAAAAAAAATCACTCATATTGACTTCATCAAGTTGACAAGATCTCAGAAGTAGATCTGGTATCATTCACAAATCAGAATTATGAAGAGAAACTGCAGCAGCTGCTGCAGCACAAAATCTAACATGGATTGAAATGACCAAATATTATTAATGAACAAATTTGAAAACTGAGTTTCACATACAGCATTACATTTCTCTCTGACACTAATGTGTGATAAAAATTTAAAATGATATAAACATGTTTTAAAGTCATTGTGGTAATTACTAAAAGTAGCCAGCCATCCCATAGCTAGGCATTGTCAGAAGTCTACTCTGTGCAGTTGAAGTTTATATTAGCCCAGTACATCAAATTGTTCCCTTGAAGTTTCAGCTTTGGTGAGTCCTCTTTGACTAACATAAAGTTTTGACTATGACAGCAACACATAACCAAGTAGCATTCTTTATTAAATAAATCTAGATTATCTCAATGACCCGAAGGAATCAATATAATGTTCCAGTGTCCACCTATCTACAATGAGAAAAATCTTAACCCAATGTTTGAGGTATTATCAATTTATGCAGAGTACACTGCATGAGTCTAATTTCCATGCAAACATCTTCATACCTGGGAATCCTTTCAAATACCAAAATAAAATATTTACCTTTTTGCTAAGGGGAATAAAAAGACATGACAGTAGAATATACATCTTGATAGAAAAATAGTTAAAGCTTTTAATTCTCTGAATACCTAGAGTTAACCGTTTATGACTACCCTTTGAAAACAGGGTATTTGGGAACAATTTTAAAGTTTTCAAAATCAGTACAAAGCTTATTCACATTTTTATTAAAGCCAACATCACTTTCACAAATCACAAAATGATTTCCTTATGAAAAGAAGAGCAGCCAAGTTTTTGGTGTCTGTCTCTGTGCTTAGCTAAGTCTGTTAAACACAGAGTCCAGGGGCTCCCCCCATCTCCTCTAGATGGGCTCCGTAGTACAGTGACCCTTCATACCATGTGTTCCTTGAAGAACCATTTCTGATGATCTGAGTTGGTACAGTCTCGTAAGAGTGGTACAAAACTGTTGCTCAATTCCTTCCTCTCAGCCTGAACACATTTCTTGGACTGTACATGAAATAAAGAACCATCCTACAAAAGATAATAGACATTGGGTGTTCAAGATAACTATAAGCAATTCCTCAGAAAGTATCTTTTCCTTAAAACGTGTTGTTAAGTGCTCAGGGTGATTTTTATTATTTCAGAAATATTTATTGAGTAGTGAGTGTCTGCAGGTATGAAGGCAGCCCATAACTGTCTGTGCATAGAGAGGGCCAGGCGTGTAGAAACGTATGTCATGCTTGTCTCTCCCTGGAGCTCTTCATGAGGTCCATGACTCCACCGTCAGGGCTAATGGTGCCACCTGCTGGCCGTTCTGGGATCGGTCAGACCCTATATCTCACCCTTACTGATGTTCTTTTCCTTCAGGGTAAGCAGGACCAAAGATCCTTTATTAATCTCTTCCACTTCTCTTAGGTCAACTAATTCCATCTCTGGTAGTCTCTTTCTCCTATGTATTTAAGTGGAGAATCTGGAAACTTAGCTTTAGTCCCAGCTCAGCCACAGACCAGCTGGGTGAGGGTACAGGTCACCAGAGAGGAAGCTGGTTCTGCAAACAATGCCAATTCCCAAACCCCGAAGGACAATGACCCTCTCTACCGCCTCTCCCATTTCTTCTTTCCCCAACTGTTGCTGAGTTAACTCGGCAAGTCTCTTCCCAAGTTCTGGAGTTTATTTTTTTCCCTCTGTCTCTCTCTGGTGTAAGCTGTACAGCCCCAAGGAACTTCATCATGGTTGAGCAGCAAAAGGGCATAACAAGTGGCATACCTGTTCCAGGGAAACAGAACCCTTGGAAATAAAATTAGATGCAAAAGAATCTCAATAATATTAATCTGGAAAGCCCTTAAAGCTGCTCATAAGTTGCCTTTAGAATAATGTGAAAGTAAATAATTAAAACTTCCCTCCTCCCACCCTTCTAAAGAAACTTGCTTAAATGGTCACTGAAATTAAAGATTTTTAAGGTAAAATTTCAACGACATTTCAAACCAATTTCATGATTTTTTTTTTTCTTTTTTTTTTTTTTCGCGGTACGCGGGCCTCTCATCGCTGTGGCCTCTCCCGTTGTGGAGCACAGGCTCCGGACGGGCAGGCCCAGCGGTCACGGCTCAGGGGCCCAGCCACTCCGCGGCATGTGGGATCTTCCCGGACCGGGACACGAACCCATGTCCCCTGCATTGGCAGGTGGACTCTCAACCACTGTGCCACCAGGGAAGCCCCATGATTTCTATCTTGCATTACTCTTCTTTGAGGGCTTACAATGGCTTCCAGTTGGAAGAAAGAAGGGAAGGACAAAACTTTTGGGGTTTACAAAAATATTTTTCCCTATTATTTTTTATATCACATAGACAGCACTATGGTGCCTGGCTTTTCCAGGAAACCTGCAAATTTTGTTGTTAATCATAACACTTTCTACAGGAAAGCATAGTCCAACTTCTAATTATACTTAGAATTAATCCATTTATAAGTAGTATAGATGAACCTTTCTATCCCTGGGGCCAGGCTGGGAATGAAAGCTTTCCATTGACATAAAAGTGAACTAATTCTTTCTTTTGAATTATTTTCTTTGGATTTATTCCCTCAAGTGCTTCTTTAGTGAGTCTTTGGAGATGACTGGTGTATGAGTCCCACCACGGGCTTACTGCAAACATGGTAGAGGTAGTACCTTTCAGGCGTGAAATAACACCCAGTTCCAAATCAACAATGGCTCTTCTGATAGAGAACCAACTCCATCAGAGAGGTTTACTTGGTTATTATACAAGTAACAATGTCTATAGAGCTTTAGAGCTTCCAAAGACTCTTTCTGGCCATACATCTACTCTTCACTAGAGGTAGACAAGGCTGTGATTATTGTCCCCACTTTAGAGCTCGGAAAAATGAGACTTAGACAACGGGAGTGGCTTCTACTTGGATCTAACCTCATGTCCTTACACTTGGCAATTTGTTTCACTCGTTTGAACCCCATATGATCTCTGAACACATTGGCGACAGCGCCTCTTCCCATTCCAGCCAGTCGCAGCTCAAAGTGTAAGGAGGACAGGAAGACCGAAAGGGAGTGGACAGTGAGGAAAGAAGGAAAGTGCTATCGGTACTGGATGCCATGGGATCCCTTGGGGTCACTGTGAAGTTCCTGGTCTCCTGTAGAGGGCACATCCCTGAGACTTGCTAGGGACTCGCTTTACTTCCAGACTCCCCTCTGCAGCCCATGGGACCAGGAGTGACAGCAAGGAAGGCGTGAGACAGCTCTCTTACCTCCTGCAAGATGAACTTCTGATCCTCTGGGGTGGCTCCCTCGCAAAGATGCATGATGAGAACATCCATTCCGGCCTCCACTGCCACGCAGCCTTCTGGCTGGTGGGTGTTATAGCGTATTTCATTCTGGGACGTGTACTCGAAAAACTAGAAACAGGGCGGCCAACATGTGCCAGTTACCCTCTGATGTGCAAAGGGGGAAGTCTTTAGAAAGAGGGATGAGAACCTGGGGTCACCAGGGCATGGGTGCTGGGATCCAGCCTTCTCCCCTTACCTACCAACACCAGCCTGTGTCCCCGGAGCACCACGTGCACCTCTGGAGGGGTGCTTAGCAAGCATGAATGGAGGGGCCCTTTCTCATGTCCTTCTCCTTTGCTAGATTGTGAGGATGGGGCTGGTTCCTGGGTCACCCCACACCCGCTGGGCCTATCCCCTGGCTGTTGCAGAACGGCAGGAAAGAAGATGGACCGGTCCCAGCAGTCAGGGGCTCTCTGTGACCTTGACCAGCCACTTCCTCTCATTTTCTTCATTCCTTTCCTCCTCCTTCCCCCGAAATATAATGGAGGCAATCATACCTTGGAGACTATAAAAGTTCTGTGCACAAGCAGCCAACAGGGACTGCTAACAGGAGGATTTGTTCTTCAGAGCAATGGTTTTCCTACCCTAGTGTGCCTAGGAAAAATGCTGATTCCAGGCTCCACTCCCAAAAGGGAATGAGGATTCCTTCTGTCTGAGATGGGGCCTAGGAAGCTGCGCTTTTACACTTCTAACAAGACACACAGCCACCCATCCACCCTGATCCATCCCCTTGTTCCAGGAGATTCTGACACAGGTGACTGTTCTTAAGGCATATGGAGCACTGCTTCTCAAACAAATCTCCCTGAAAGCTGGTCAAGACAAGAGGTGGGTTGGGGAGGGATGGGATGGGACTGAGAATCTGCATTTCTAAGCTCTCAGGTGATGCTGATGGTACCAGGTGGGGACACCTTTGAGGAGTGCTATTCTAAAGGGGGTTGAAGAACCTGAAAATTTTAAGGCTGTAGGGGTCCGAATTATGAAAGCTTACTGTTGACCATAATGGTGCATAATATTCAAATAGAACTGGGGTGGCTCCAGGTTAGAGGAAGACTTGAATGCCTACCCCTCGTCTCCAGTGTCCTTACTTAGGACAGCAAGGCTTTGAAGGTCCAGAACCAACGCTTTGATCTCTCCTGCATCCTCCCCTGGGCCCGCCCTGGCGGGTTTGCCTGCTTCCCGGGCCAGGGTCCTGTTATGGTCCTCAGAACTTCCAGGTCTTGCTCCCCTGCCCAGCTTGCAGTTCAGCACTTAACCCAGACCGATCTACCTGGGCCCTGACTGATGAAACTGCCCTAAAAACCGCTTTGCAATGTGGCACTACACATCAAATCCTATAATTTCATTTAAGAATTAATGCTGGAGAGACCTTCAAGATGGCGGAAGAGTAAGACGCGGAGATCACCTTCCTCCCCACAAATACACCAGAAATACATCTACACGTGGAACAACTCCTACAGAACACCTACTGAACGCTGGCAGAAGACCTCAGACCTCCCAAAAGGCAAGAAACGCCCCACGCACCTGGGTAGGGAAAAAGAAAAAAGAAAAAACGGAGACAAAAGAATAGGGACAGGACCTGCACCTCTGGGAGGGAGCTGTGAGGGAGAAGTTTCCATGCACTAGGAGCCCCTGCACTGGCGGAGATGGGGGCGGGGCGAGGGGGGAGCTTCGAGGCCGCGGAGGAGAGCGCAGCCACAGGGCGCGGAGGGCAAAGCGGAGAGATTCCCGCACAGAGGATCGGGGCCGACCGGCGCTCACCAGCCCGAGAGGCTGGTGTGCTCACCCGCCGGGGCGCGCGGGACTGCGAGCTGAGGCTCGGGCTTGGGTCGGATCGCAGGGAGAGGACTGGGGTTGGCGGCGTGAACATAGCCTGAAGGGGTTAGTGCGCCACGGCTAGCCGGGAGGGAGTCCGGGAAAAGGTCTGGAGCTGCCTAAGAGGCAAGAGACTTTTTCTTGCCTCTTTGTTTCCTGGTGCTCGAGGAGAGGGGATTAAGAGCGCTGCTTAAAGGAGCTCCAGAGACGGGTCACGCGGCTATCAGCGCGGACCCCAGAGACGGGCATGAGATGCTAAGGCTGCTACTGCCGCCACCAAGAAGCCTGTGTGCGAGCACAGGTCACTATCCCCACCTCCCCTCCCGGGAGCCTGTGCAGCCCGCCACTGCCAGGGTCCCGTGATCCAGGGACAGCTTCCCCGGGAGAACTCACGGTGGGCTTCAGGCTGCTGCAACATCACGCAGGCCTCTGCCGCCTCAGGCTCGCCGCTTATCTCTACCCCTCCCTCCCCCGGGCCTGAGTGAGCCAGAGCCCCTGAATCAGCTGCTCCTTTAACCCCGTCCTGTCTGAGCGAAGAACAGATGCCCTCAGGCGACCTACACACAGAGGCAGGGCCACATCCAAAGCTGAACCCCGGGAGCTGTGCGAACAAAGAAGAGAAAGGGAAATCTCTCCCAGCAGCCTCAGGAGCAGCGGATTAAATCTCCACAATCAACTTGATGTACCCTGCATCTGTGGAATACATGAATAGACAATGAATCATCCCAAAATTGAAGGGGTGGACTTTGGGAGCAACTGTAGACTTGGGGTTTGCTTTCTGCATCTAATTTGTTTCTGGTTTTAGGTTTATCTTAGTTTAGTATTTAGAGTTTAGTATCATTGGTAGATTTGTTTATTGATTTGGTTGCTCTCTTCCTTTTTGTTTTTTTATACATAGAAATATAGATTTTTTTTTCCTTTTTCTCTTTTTGTGAGTGTGTATGTGTATGCTTCTTTGTGTGATTTTGTCTGTATAGCTTTCCCTTTACCATTTGCCCTAGGGTTCTGTCTTTTTTTTTGTTCGTTTCTAATTACTCTTTAATTTTTTATTTTTAATAATTTTTAAATTTTTTATTTTAATAAGTTTTTATTTTATCTTATTTTATTTTTTTCTTTCTTTTTTTTTTTTTCTCCCTTTTCTTCTGAGCCATGTGGCTGACAGGGTCCTGGTGCTCCGGCCAGGTGTTAGGCCTGTGCCTCTGAGGTGGGAGAGCCGAGTTCAGGACACTGGTCCACAAGAGACCTCCCAGCTCCACCTAATATCAAATGGCAAAAGCTCTCCCAGAGATCTCCATCTCAATGCTAAGATCCAGCTCCACTCAACGACCAGCAAGCTACAGTGCTGGACACCCCATGCCAAACAACTAGCAAGACAGGAACACAACCCCACCCATTAGCAGAGAGGCTGCCTAAAATCATAATAAGGTCACAGACACCCCAAAACACGCCACCGGATGTGGTCCCACCCACCAGAAAGACAAGATCCAGCCTCATCTTCCAGAACACAGGCACCAGTCCCCTCCACCAGGAAGCCTACACAAGCCACTGAACCAACCTTAGCCACTGGGGGCAGACACCAAAAACAACGGGAACTACGGACCTGCAGCCTGTGAAAAGGAGACCCCAAACACAGTAAGTTAAGCAAAATGAGAAGACAGAGAAACACACAGCAGATGAAGGAGCAAGGTAAAAACCCACCAGACCTAACAAATGAAGAGGCAACAGGCAGTCTACTTTCCAGAAAAAACTTTCAAGAAGAAAGTTTTTCTACCTGAAAAATAATTCAGAGTAATGATAGTAAAGATGATCCAAAATCGTGTAAACAGAATGGAGAAAATACAAGAAACAAATACTGTATGCTAACACATATATGAAAAAAAAATGGTTCTGAAGAACCTAGGGGCAGGACAGGAATAAAGATACAGACGTAGAGAATGGACTTGGGGACATGGGGAGGGGGAAGGGTAAGCTGGGACGAAGTGAGAGTGGCATGGACATATATACACTACCAACTGTAAAACAGATAGCTAGTGGGAAGCAGCCACATACACAGGGAGATCAGCTCGGTGCTTTGTGACCACCTAGAGGGGTGGGATAGGGAGGGTGGGAGGGAGACGCAAGAGGGAGGAGATATGGGGATATATGTATATGTATAACTGATTCACTTTGTTGTAAAGCAGAAACTAACACACCATTGTAAAGAAATTATACTCCAATAAACATGTAAAGAAAAAAAAGAATTAAGTCATCTGAAATGCATATCTGTTGGTGTTTTTTCCTTTTTTTTTTTTTTTTCTGACCAAAGATGTCGGTGGCAGAGTTATTTATAGTCACAGAAACAGAGAGAGAATCAGTTACCTCAACAGTAATTAATATAGCCATACAAAGGAATATCAAGGGGCCGTTAGGGATGATATTCTCAAAGGGTGTCTAACAACACAAGTAAAGTATGATTAAGTAATGGAAATAAGAGACTATAAAACATGTAGACATTATAACAACTATTTAAAATAAATAATACCAAGCTCATGCATTAAAAGACATGGGGGGCCTTCCCTGGTGTTACAGAGGTTAAGAATCCACCTGCCAATGCAGGGGGCATGGGTTTGAGCCCTGGTCCAGGAAGATCCCACATGCCGTGGAGCAACTAAGCCCATGTGCCACAACTACTGAGCCTGCACTCTAGAGCCCGTGAGCCACAACTACTGAGCCCGTGCGCCTAGAGCCCGTGCTCCGAACAAGAGAAGCCACTGCAATGAGAAGCCCATGCACCGCAATGAAGAGTAGCTCCCGGTCACCGCAACTAGAGAAAGCCCACGCATAGCAACGAAGACCCAGCGCAGCCAAAAAAAAAAAAAAAAAAAACACGGGAAGAAAAAAAGTTAATTAAAAACCTTCTCTCTGGGTCCTGTCATTTACTACTTGCTTCTACTTTTTATATTTCCCAAAAGTTCTGTGATGAGCATATATTACCTTTATAATAAAAAAGTCAAATATTTAATGCTTTAAAAACACACAGATTTCCCCTCATCTCCCTCTTTAAAGGCCCACACCAATGATCCCTTGAGCAGTGAGTGTCCCATTGTCCATTGTCCCAGAGCTTGAGAATGTCAATCTATTAAAGAAGCAGCACCTACCTGGTTCTGACCCATCCCATGACAGTGGTACAGAATGACCTGATGTCCTGTGATCTGGTGTTCATTGGGAGGGTTATAGTCAAAGCAGTAATCTTTTAGTCCTTTGTTCTGGAGCTAAACAAAACATAAAGGAATTTTAGTCCAGATTCCACCTAAGGCTGTGAGGGCGGGTAAATGGAATAAGAGGAGTGGCTGCCTCAAGAACTGGACTCATTGCTAAGAGCCCCTGCCATTTCTAGTTTTCAAAGTGTTTTCCCATCCTATACCACAGGCAGGAATCATAAGCTCCATTTTCAGATGATAAACCTGAAGAGCAGAGAGATGAACTCTTTATGGCCTGAGAGCTCATACCACTTCATGTCTCATTAGTGCAGCCTTACTGCTGCAGTAGGCCAAACACAGCTGGATTGTCACCTTGCGTATGTACCAAGGAGCTCCTGCTGTCGCGCATCTCTGAAGGACACCCCGATCGAGAGACCCGGCATTCCACAGATCAGAAGTCCATCATTGTAGATTACAGGAACAGCATAATACAGAGCCAATGATTCACACACAAAGTCACACAACAGGTAAGCGGAGATACCTGAGTCTTGAATCCAGGACCTCAGACTCCAAGTCCAGTACTCTCTCCATCACTCAACATTGCCTAATCTAATGTCATCTCTAAGGTACTTTTGGATCTATATCCCTTTAATCATTCTAAGAGCAAAACACCATGAGAGGTTCCATGCTCCCTCCTCCCTTCCAGGAGCCTCCAGAGAAAGACTCAAACATCTTGCAAATCCCTTTCTGGAGAGTTTAAAGAACCTCCTTCTGAACCCCACTCTTGCCCTGGCCCTTGTCCATCTTTGACTAGCCTGGTCCTGAGGATAAGACTCAGCCATTTAGAAAGAAGAATCCACAATCCACTAGCTCATAAAACACAGAACAGCATGTTCTTAATGTCCCTTTGCTTGTGAAGGAATCTGGGAACAGGAGATGTGAATAATCAGAGCATCTTATATCTAGAAGAACTCAAACATCATTAAGCCAAGTTGTCCCCACTCTTGACCACCAAAGAACCTCAACCTCAAATCAGCTCCCTATGTTCAAAAGATGTGGTCTACCAAAGAAACTACAAGAAAAACTAAAAAAGAAGAAAAAAAGGAGAAACCCCTAAAGATTAAAACAGATTGATTAAGCTAACTATATCAAGTTGGTGACAGACATAGAGAATGATTTTGAATGACTTTAGAGCATAGTATGTTTGACTACACCTCCTTAGTGAAATATATTTTATAAATAAATAGAGCTGCAAGAAATCTTAAACCTCATTCAGTATCACACTGTCAGTGGGAGGGTGGAGCAGAGAAGAGGGAAAGCAAGAGAGGCAAAATCTTGGTAATTGTAGAATCTCAGGGACAGGGTTCATTACACCACTCTCTCTGCATTTCTGTATGTTTGAACATTTTCATAATGCTAACTGAAATGAACACACCAATACCATGTTTTGTATTTATCAAGGCTTCCAGAATGGAACACAGCTCTTCTGATGAATACAACACAGCAGAGGAGGCCTCCCTAAGTTGGTGGAGTTTCAAGCAAAAGCCAAAGGTGCTGGACATTTTAGTTGACCTCATCCCAACAACATTTCTTTTAGGTTTTTTGAAATAACACAAGTGACTCTCCTTCCCTACTACTGCTTTTGTGGATCCCTGAGTTGGGAATTAGTAACTGGTCCAGTTATTGAGACTTGAAGTCATGTGATAGGAGTTAGTATAAAAAAAATAGGACTTGGGAACACCAAGTTCCCAAGCCTCAGTTTCCATCTGTAAAATAGGAGGCTGTACTCACCAATTCTGAGATGCTTCCTGTGCTGACATTCTGGACCTGAGGCCCAGAGACTCAAGGGGAGAAGGAAGGACAGTGGATGAAAAGCGGGGAGGGGTGTGGGAGAGGCCAGCTGTCACCATGAAGGGGTCTTTCTTTCACAGTGTTCATCAATCAGACCTGGAGGCCAGGAGCACCCTGCCCAGCATGGGCCCACCTCGCTCACCATCCCAAAGAAGCCAGGCCTGTCCTCAGGCACGTGCAGTTCTGGATACACGGTATTCAAGAACCACTTGAAGTCCTTACACTGGAGCCTTGCACGGAGCTGCCTCCTCTCTGTCACATCCCCAAAGGGTTCCTGAGAAAATGACAAAACGGTGAGCCCCTGCAGGCCACGGCGCTTCCTATCAAAGCCCCTCTCTCACTCACTCAGTAAGCTTTTATTGAGCACCTATTGTGTGCATAGCCTGCACAGGGCACAGAGGATAAGGAACAGCCTCAGACATAGCTGCAGCATCTTAGTAGGAGAGACTGCTGCACAAACAATGACATCCCCAGGTGCTCTCACTGCAGGGAGGTGTGGCCAGGTACAGGAAGGAAGAACACAAAGCACCTGCAGATGGGACAGGGAGCTGAATTCTGGGGCTGCACCAGCATCCCTGGCCCCATGTGTCATCCATGAGCGTGTGATCACAGACCAGCAACAAGTCAGTAGCACACGTATGCCATAATGTTCTGATTCACCACTGATACCTGAACACTCAATTCCAAACATAGGTAAGTATTCTAGAGGTAATTATGAATGAAAACCTTATATGCCCAATCTATTGAAGTCTAAATATATTCTTCGGATAGTAAGAACAAAATGCTGCAATAATAAATACTTGTAGAAGTTTAGTTTTATGGACAAAACCAATGATTAAGAACTTTTTTTTTTAGTTTATTAATTAATTAATTTATTTTTGCTGTGTTGGGTCTTCGTTTCGGTGCGAGGGCTTTCTCTAGTTGTGGCAAGCGGGGGCCACTCTTCATCGCGGTGCGCAGGCCTCTCACTATCGCGGCCTCTCTTGCTGCGGAGCACAGGCTCCAGACGCGCAGGCTCAGTAGTTGTGGCTCACGGGCCTAGCTGCTCCGCGGCATGTGGGATCCTCCCAGACCAGGGCTCGAACCCGTGTCCCTTGCATTAGCAGGCAGACTCTCAACCACTGCACCACCAGGGAAGCCCCCAATGATTAAGAACTTTTGAATAATTAAATAAAGCAAGCATCTATTTAGCACAGCAAATGTGCAACCACAAGAGCAATGCTGAGCGCAAAGATATGACTATCCCTGCGTTATGACGTTAAACTATTAAAATTTGACATGTTAAACATTTAACAAAATGGTAATGATAGGAAAAACATTTGAATAAAATTTCAAATTTCTCCATATTTCCCAGAAGTTCATTCTTTGATAAGAGTCACTATGCCCTCATCTTCAACCAAATATCCATTTCAACACATGGCCACTGGTCATTCAGACAAAAGGTGCATGCAGTGCCCCTGTTTCTAACATATTATTCTTTGGGAACCATCAGGAAGAGGGATCTGTGGGTTTCAGACTGGGTGACAGGGAAAAGCAGATGTTGCTACCCTGCAGCCCTGGGCAAGAGAGAGGAAACAATGACCCCGGAGCCCAGAGGCAGAAAGAGACCAAAGGGGAGGTCAGGGTGAGGGCCCCGAGGGTTCCACAGAGCAGAAAGAGATCCACTGGGGTGGACCCAGTTCTACCTGCATCAGCTGCGAGGCCTTGGGCAAGTTCCTTAAATCTCTCTGAGCTTCAGTGTTCTCACCTATAAAATGAAAATTTCCGAGCTACCCTGAAGGGCTGCTATAAGGATTCACAAGAAGAGAGTTTCATCAAGTGGCCAGGAAAGAGGTCTTGGGACAGAGCTTCTTGTCTTGCCACGTGGCCCCTTAGATATGTAAACACAGGTAAGTGGGAACCCTGTCCTGGGGTGTGCAGACGTGGCGTGTCAGAGGCAGTGAGGCTCTTTGCTAAAATGTATTTGTAACCCCAAAATCAATACTTGTGGTGTCTTCACGCTTTCAGTCATTCTAAAACATGACAGTCACCCAACGTGCATGTTCCCAGCTGAGGTCACGTCTCAGCTCTTGTCCTGAAAGCAAGTGTCCTGTTCATGGTCTATTTAGTGGCCCGGTTTTCAGATTGTTCTGCATTGTGTTGGTGATTTCACTGTTTTAAATGGCCCCCAAGCGTAGCGCTGAAGTGCTGTCCAGTGTTCCTAGTGCAAGAAGGCTATGATGTGCTGGAGGGAGAAAATAGGTGCATTGTATGAGCTTCACTTGGGTGTGAGTTCAATGTAACCAATCAACAGTATATACTAAATAAATTATTTAAACAGAAACACACATAAAACCAAGTTATGTATTGATCGATCTACAAAAATGTCCACCTGCGAGAGGTTTGCAGGAATCTAACCCTGTACTTCCCCCATGAGCAATGGCTCAATAGTTGGTTCCAAATTCAGTGATTGCAGTGCCTGTATGGAGCATTAACTCCTGCAAATAAACTGTCTGTTGTTATTGTAAGTGGAGGAATAAAGTTTTCCCATACAAGTGCCATGAGCACCCAATTTCCTCTCTATTTCTGGAACTAGATCTACTATGGTAGGAGGACAGAATTAGCTGCTGTTGTTCAGATGCAGCCAGATGGAGTGTGGGTAGGCCGGGGAACTCACCAAGCGGGCCTGGGGGGTGCGATGGTAGTAGAGCTCTTTAAATTCATCCATCCATACTTCAGCTGCGCGGACACTGTTGGCTAGAGCCTTGTTGCGGGAGTAGGGAGCTTGCCTGGGGAAAACGTGGCCAACGTGCGAACACGGGTGTGTCTCCAGGGTCCCCCCGCACTGCCAGATCTGTACACAGAGCGGGTAGGAGGTGTGGTGTGGGAGTGAGCGGGAAGTCAGCTGCAGGTCCACAATGCCCAGAGCAAGGAGGCTGGACACACGGAGGTCATGGTGAACACCGCCAAGGCCTCACCCCCCATGGGGCAGGGGGCCACTCACCCAGCATACTCAGGACACGGGATGCAGTCAAAGAGCAAGACAGCAGCCTCAAAGACAACTAAGCCATCGGAATCCAGACCCCAAAGTCCATGCACTAAGGCTCATGCGCTTGACTCCTAGGAGCACCCACAGTGGACCTCGCTGGGAACTTACTTATTATGTAAAGCACAGGCTGATTACCTGGTCTCCTAGCCACAGAAGATAGGAAAGCAGCAAGTAAGAAGAGAGGTTTGGAAGGGGGACAGGAAGAGCTTCTAGAGGCAGACAGAGCAGCCTGACACCTGGGGAAGAGGTAGAAAGACCATTAAAAGCACACCCCAAAACTCAGCAGGTGGAGTCATCTGGAGCCTTTTCATGCTGGGGCAAACGGCTGTGAATACCCCATTGTCCCCTGGATGTATGACCAAGGATAGCATCTGGTGCTTATAATGGGGGGTGTGTGAGTCCTGAGTGGAGAGTCAAAGCCTTGTTTATTAACTCTTAAAGCAGGAAACCATATAAAATATTTGTAAAGTTTAAAATTTTCCATTTAAAAGCACGAACATCGATATAAGGTTTTGATACTTAAAATCCAAGATTCAGTTAATTAGAAAATCCACCTAAATGCTTGGGCTTTCCCAAAGGGGCATCTGTGGATCACATACAGCAGAATCAATAGATGGGCTCATTACAAAAGGCAGATTCCCAGTCCCTACCGTAAATCTATCAAATCTGACTTTCCAGAGACCATGCCTGTTAATCTGCATCTTTAGCAAGTTTCCCTAACAATTCTTCTATGTGTCAAAGTTTGAAAGTCACTGTGCCAAATAAAGAGGCTACTTTATCAAGCAGTCAAGCAAATCAAGGCTCCAAAACATGGGATCAGGAGGCAGGGACCTGTGTTTTAGTCCAGTCTCTGCCATGCACTCTTTGAGTGACCTTCAGCCAGTCACTACCCGCCTCCGGCCTCTGTCCCTCCCCTTTATGGAGTGAGAGGAAAGAACTAGGTGAGACTTGCAAGACCCTTTCCAGCCCCAAATCTATTAAAAGTGTATTTTTTTTAAAGTTTACACAAGAAGACAGGCGTGATTACAGGATATGCGTGCCACTATCATCTTTGAGGATCGTTGGATAAACTGCCAATATGGAGGAAAAGTCCACCAGGCTCTCCTAGCAAATACATCCTTCCCGGAGAGAAAGAGAACAGGTTAAGAATGAGTCCAAACAGAAGACTGGAATACTTACTCTAAATGAGAATTCGAGGTTTTCTCCGCCCCAAACTTCCATTCCTGTATCATAAGACCCCAGGTATTCAAAATATTTCTTACTCACGGAAAACAGCCCACCAGCCATGGTTGGAGACCTAGAAGCATGTGAATCATAATTCAAGGTAAGCAGCAGGAAACCAGCACAGTTAGTTGAATCCCTGCTCACCACAAGCCTGGAGTCCATTCATCCATATAAGCATACCCTGAGTTCACGCTCTGGGCCTGGTGCTGAACTGGGCTGGAGGCACAGACGTGCCCCATAGCCCTTGCCCTGGGGAAGCTCACAGACATCTCACCAGGCAAGCACAGAGCAAGGTGTGGGATGACTAAGGCCAACCTAGGGCCCAGCGGGAATGCAGAAGCAGCCGTGAGATGTGGAGGAGGGCGGGTAGGGCTAAGTTTCTCGGAGGAGGCACGGTCTGCAGCACAAAGGGAAGTTAGCCAAGAAGAGGAATGGAATGGTCCTCCGAGAAGACAGGAGCATGAGCAAAGGCCTAAGGGTCAGAGAAAGCCTTGTACTTCTAGGAGCACAAACAACAAGGAGAGATGAGAAGAGAGAGACAAGGTTCTAAGAGGGTGGCAGGAGTAAGGGTGAACACCCACAGTAAAGTCCAAACCCCTTTCCTTGGCCTTCAAGGCTGGATATGACTTGGCCCCAGCCCTGTCTCTCAACACTGTCTCCAGAGTCTTTCCTCTCCAGCCAGCACTGGGTCATCTCAAGGTCTGGACTCAGGTGGAAGGATTCAGAAGGCCAGCTGCCAAACATGGGTGCAGATCTATGACACCACTTCTGGGTCAATACCCCAGGGATAAAGCCGAAGTCCAACCTCCACTGGCCTGACTCCCACATCTGTCTCCCATTTGGTGCTAAACTTGGAAGGAGAGGAAGAAGCCAGACTATGACTTCAACACCTCAAGAATGAGGGCAACCCAGCACCACCTGAGCCTTCTCTTCTCAGACCCAGGCTCACCCACTGGCCAAAGCTGGCCCCTGTACCCCCAGGTCTACTCATCCCCTGCAGCTCAGAAGGAGCCATGGAATTACCATAGCAAGTCCAGTCCTAGGTATATACCCCAGAGAACTGAAAACAGGCACTCAAACAGACAATAGTGTACCGCTGTTCACAGCAGCATTATTTACAATAACCAAAAAGTGGAAATAACCCAAGTGTCCATCAACAGACAGATGGATAAATAAAATGTGGATGCATACACAATGGAATATTATTCATCCATTAAAAGGAATGAAGTTCTAGAAGGACCTTGAAAATACTTTGTTAAGGAAAAGAAGCCAGACACAAAAGGATAAATATCGTGTGATTCTACTTATATGATGTACATAAAATAGGGAAATCCATAGAGATGCAAAGTAGAGTAGAAGTTACCGGGGGCTGGAGGAGGGGAGGAAAGGGAATTATTGCTTAACAGGTATGGAGTTTCTATTTAAGTTGACGAAAAAGTTCTGGAAATACATAGAGGTGATGGTTCTACAATATTGTGAATGTGCTTGATGCTAGTGAATTGTGCATTTAAAAAAAGGTTAAAATGGTAAACTTTATGTTATACATATTTCAACACAATTTTTAAAATAAATTAAAAAATATATATATATATACACCAATATAAAATCCACATATATAGCAATGATTTTTAATAAAAGTAAACAAATACTCTGGAAAAAGAAAGGAGAGGCAACAGCTAACCATCCCTCCTGAGGGCCTTCACTGACAAGTTGGCCAGATGCGTGCTCAGAGAAGTCAACCCCTGACCTGATGACATCGATGGGGGACCGCATGCGGATCCTCTCCCTCTCGGGAACCACGTGCCACGTGAACACCAGCCTCCAGTCGAAACCGCCAATCTGGGGCTCCCCAGCGTTCCCCAGGTACTCGAAGGTGTTCCAGTCGATCACATCGATCACAGGGCACACCACTGCCAGCTCCTCTTCATGGATCCTGAAAACAGTCAGAACAGCCTTCCACTAGAAGGAGGAACACCTGTCTGAGAAAGGCCTGCTTCTCTTATTCCAGGGGTCTACAGCCAAGTCAGCCCTGGCAGGTGAGCAAAAGGGGGCTGCTGGGTGGTGGGGGGAGGCAGGGAGCTAGGACTCTGGCCCTGATATGAAAAGTCCCACAGCTTTAATATTCTGATTCCATCTAGGGATATTCTGGTTAAATATGAATCCCTTATGATGTCAAAATTAAAGCTAAATTTTAAAACGGAAAGCACATTTTCAGTTTCTCAAGACTGCAAGAGATTTCTTCATTTAATTAAAATGAAACAACTTCAAGTCAAGAAATAATTATCTCCCTGTGAACAGAGATGCACCCAGACCAAAGGGTCTGCTTTGGAGTTAGAAAATAAATTTTAATCCTGCCTCTTATTTGCTGTGTAACATTAGCGTTGTCACTTAACTGCTTAGAGCCTGTTGCCTCATGGGTTACACTGGAAAAATATACCTACTCATAGGTTAATGTGGACTCCCTACGGGAATGTTTGTAAGAGGCTGGCAGAGAACCTGGAACTACTGCTATATTTTTCTTTTAACCTTTTTTATTATTAAATGTTACACGTAGTGGAAAATGTGATAATTTCCTTTTGCAAGCATCAGCTTGTGCGTAGTCTTGAGCAGTTCTCTCCACAATCATTCTTACAAGCCCAGCCATCCCAGCAGGCTTCCAGACTGTGTTTCTTTGCATTTGACAGCACACCAGGAAACATGAACTGAGACTGAACCATGTGTGAACACTAGATTTCTCTGGGTTACATTTTGGGGGCAGTTCTCTAGAATTTGAGACCTATAAATCATAAACTTGTGACTTGCAGTCCAGTTGGTTGGAACCATGGGTAGTCTAATTTTTACAAGAAAGGGAAAAACGGGGGGAGCCTGCACTGGAGTAAAGAATTCTAAATCATGGTTGGAGAATGTGCAGGCCCAGTAGCAGTGGTTAATGGGTAGTGTCTCCTGGCATCTTGTGAGCCAGGGACCAGGGATGCCAAACATCCTGCAGTGTGCAGTCCAGCCCTACACAGCAAAGAATGGTTCTGCCCCAGATGTAAACAGCAGCTTATAAAATCCCAGAAGCACTACCCAGTTGATGTGACAACCAAAAACATCTTCCACTTCCAAAAGCCCCTGGAGGAAAGGGGTTACTGTGCCTGGTTGGGACCACCTGAGGGACAGTCTACGCTCCAGTGTCTCAACTCTGGTGCAACCTCAAGTCTTCAGGGAGCTTCTGAAACATCCAGAAGGCCAGGATCTACCCCAGAGATTCAGATCCAAATAGTCCAGGAGTTTTTAAGGTTCCCCAGTTATTTCTAAAGGGTAACCAGGGGAGAATCCCTTTGTCTCCAGGTATGGAGCAAGGACGTGATTATGGGGAATGCTGCCTCACTCTCTCCAAAGGGTGGGACGGAGTGAAGTGGAATTCTAGATGGCATTAATGAATCAGCTAAAGGGGAAAAGTGCCCCTACCATGACTTTAGACAGGCCTAGAGGCAGCCCTCTGTATGCACAGTAGGGGAAGGGGGGAAGGATGAACTCACTAGTCCAGGTTCCAGAGTGAGCACCTAGCTGTCACTATGTTCTAAGTAATCTCAGAGTCCATCACTGGCCTGAGGAACCCTGAGTCCTTTCTGTGGGTGAAGCTCACCAGAGCTGAGGGGGAGAATGAGGCAGCAAAGGACCGGGACAGCAGGAAGTGGCAGCGCAGAGCTCGGTCTCATGCAGGAACAGAGGCGAGGGGGTCCCTAGCTCTTCCAAACAGACTCTGACAACCAAGCGTTGGATGCCAAGGGAAAGCAGTTTGCCAAATGCACAGACTCTGATCCTCCAGCCCTTCACCTACTCCACAGGGAGGGGACCAAACAGAGACCCCCCAAACTTTCCTCTCCCACCCGGAGGAGCTCTGGGCTTGCCAGCTCAGCTCCTGATGCAGAATCAGTAGGATGGAAAAGGAAAGAGAGAAGAGAAGAGAACAAAAGTAGGCCCAGGGGTAGGTGGGAGGGTGAGTGTAAGAGACTGTGGGACAGTAGGGGAAATATCCTTGAAGACACAGCCATATTTATACTTTCATGACTCTATAAAAAATATATTAAAACAATATTTTATGACTATATTGGTAAAAAGACAAACAATCCAGGCTAGATTATTATATATTCATTATTATGATATTCATTTTCCATTCTGATTTTAAAAGAAATTAACATAAAAAATTTTGGGGGGGGTCCCTTAAAGTTTCATGGATGGGCCATAGGTATTGTAGGTACTGCATGTAATAAATAAGTCAGCCCAGCTTGAAGGAAATACACCAAAATGTATACCCTCCAGGAGTGCAATTCTGTGTGACTGACCATATTTTTTTCTTGGTTGATCATACATAAGTTTTCTACAATAAACGTGTATAATAAGCAGTAATAAAAGCAAACACTCATCTAGGATCTCCCACATGCTGGCATGTTCTAAGCACTGTCCGTGTATTAAGTCATTTAACGGCCTCCACAGCCCCAGGAGGTAGGGACTGTTATCACGCCCAGGGACAGAGGCTTTGCCCAAGGAGCATCTGAGCCCAGCACCCCTGCCTCTCATGCCAGTTTGGTCAGGGCCCCCGCCTCCCCCCGCCCCCCACCGACGGTCCACGCACCTCTGCAGCAGCGGCTCCAGCCACCCTTCGTGGCACTCACAGTGGCAGTCCAGGAAGGTCAGCACGTCGCCCTTGGCCACGGAAGCCCCCAGCAGCCGTGCCCGCACCAGGCCCTCCCTCTTGTTGGCGCGGATCAGGCGGACCTTGGGCAGCCTGGCCAGCTCGGAGGCCAGGCGTTCCTTCAGGTGCTCTGGGGAGGCAAGCGGGACACCGAGGGTCACCGCCATACATCCCCAGCCGCGTTCTTGAAGGGCCTCCCTGTCCCCAAAAGAAGACTAAGTAGACACGAGCCTCCTTTGCTCTGCACCAGGGACGTGCTCACTGCACCCGGAACCAAGGCTGGAAGCCCCTGAAGGCCAGGGAGGCTGAGGTGGAGGATTCCAGAACCACCAAACGCTCCCGCTCAAAACACACGCACATTGAACTGAGTGAATGTGTCATGTGGATGTATCTCAACGCTATTACCTCCCAAAATTACCTTGACTTGTAAACATTTAAATAAAAAGCACAAGAACCATCCAACCACGATTTTTCCAAAAAATTGTGTTAATATAAACTTTGTTCATTTATGTTAATTATGCAATACATCATAAAATTTTAATTTATATGGAATTATATTAACATAAATTTTATTTATAATACAATTACGTTAACACAAATTTTCTCAGAAGTACGTTTCAGTTGACACAGTAATAATAATAACAATGGCAGCCAACATGAGAAAGCCTACCGTGCTGATTACAGTCCAAGTGATTCATATAACTCACATGAGTCTTATAACAACCCTATGAGGCAAGTACTACTACTGTCCCCATTTTATGAATGAGAACACTGATGCCAGAGAGGCTAAGTGACGTGCCGAGGTCCCAGACAAGTGAGCTGAGGAGTCATGATGTGAACCCAGGGACTCTGGCTCGAGTCTACAGGTTTAACGCTGCCTCCAGAGCTTTCTTCTACAGCTGCCCATCCTTGTTAAACAAATCCAAAACTTGTCAGGAGGACATGCTTATCCCATTTTGTAAGAGAGGAAATGAGTCCTTAAGAGTTGAAAGGATGTGCCCACAGCTAGAACTGGCCCCAGGACTCCCAACTCCACACACAGGCTCTGGGACTAGAGGCCCCGATTCATGCCTCTCGATGGGTAGGTGGAGGCAGGTGAGAACCAGTCAGGTAAAATAAAAATGAGAGAATCTCCCCACATCAACATGGGCTTCATCTCAAAGTCTCCCTCAATCATCAGTGAAGGGAAAACTTTGTATAATGTTCTCAGTTGCTTTGTTGTCTGTGAAATGTTTCCCTAAGTACACTTGATACTCAAACAAGAAACAAAAAACATTCATTGGTTGATTTTTTTTTCAACCCTAAATATAACTGCATATAAGCTAATGGCAGGAATAAGGGAGGTGACTTCCCAAGCAAAACTAATTAGTGGCAGTGCCCAGGGAACACACAGGAAAACTGTGGTGCAGCCACCCAGCACTCATGATGGGTTTGGTCTGCATCAATTTTCTGTCTGCCTGAACTGTCTTCCCCAATCCTGGAAGGCGCTGACATCCCTCATCAGCTCAGACTGACCCTGCAGGAAGGGTGGGAGGAGGGGGCAGGGCAGGACTTCTTACCTCCAATACACGCTGAGAGGGGCATCCTGCTGACTTTACAAATTACCACGATGGGGAGGGGAAGTCTTGTCCCCCCACAGTCTTGGCCTTACATTTATGGGAGCACTGAGCTGTACTGGAAGGGGTTCATACAGTATTCCTGTCTGCTGAGCAGCTGCTTGATCCCATAAAGAGAAAATAATCTGATATTTGCTTCTGAATGAATACACTTCTGAAACGTTTTTGGCACTTTGCCGTTTTTTAAATAGTTCATAAAAGCAGAAGTTATCGTTGAACAAGTGCCAGCAACGGGCCAGGCCCTGACGTAGCAAAAGCTACCACCTTCATCTCATTTAATCCTCAACAACGAGCCTGAAATGTAAGAACTACTATTATGCCATTTTACAGGGCTGGAAAGCAAGGTTGAAACTGGTTAAGCTCCTTGCTCAAGGCTATACGGCTGCAAAGTGTTGGAGCTGGGATTCTAGGCTATGCGGTGTGACCCAGAACCAGAGTCTACACAGACATATTTAAAACAACCCTGGGAGGAAAGGAAATGGAGATGCACGCCTACTATAAGCTGGCTGCTACGTGGGGTTCTGTCCTACACATGATCTCATTTATTCCTCACCACAAGTCTCTGGTATTAGTGTAGATAAACCCATTTACAGATTAGAAACTAAGTCTCAGAAGACAAGTGACTTGCCCAAGTTGCCATGATGGGTTATGGTAAAGCTCGCCTAAGACCCCTGACCACAGAATTCAGCATCCTGTAGGCTACACTAGGCCTCAACCCCCAGTCTGGCTTGCCTGCTGCCATGGGGAATGCCAGCTGTCCCCTAAGACTCACTCTCCCCATGCTTTTCAGCTGAGCACAGTGACAGCAGGTGTCACTCCATAGAGATGACGTTCCTAGCCTCCCTCACAGGTAGGTGTGGCCAGGTGACCCTGTTCTACTCAGTGGGACTGAGGGCAACTTCCAGGTGCAGCTCCCAGTCCCCTTGAGACCCTCCTGCTGACGGGAGTGAACAGGAGGTGAAGACCCAGCCTGGGCTATGCAGACAGAGGCAGTGCACCGTCCTCGAGAAGAAGGAGACTTAGGGCAGGAGGAGCTGGGCCCTAACAGCGCGAGGGGCCACACCTGCCCTCGACTATTACCCCAGATTTGTGATGCGAGAAATCAATTTTTATCTCATGTAAATCACTGTTATTTTGAGTCTCTGTGAGAACAGCCCGGCACACCCACCAATTAGGACGTATACACCAGGCTCTGAAGCCAGACAGACCAGTCTCAGAGCCTGAAGCAGCAGATGCCCAATAAGCAGTGGCTCTACCCTGATGGGTGGTCCAGGGGTGGTGATTTGGTTTGAAACAGGCTCTAGCAACCAAGCCCACAGCTCTCCCTCTTGCAGGGCCGTGACATTTCCCCTCACTTCAGCTTAGCTGCCCTCACGTCAGCTAGTGGCCAAAGATGTGCTGGCTGACTACCGCTCCATGGACAGGGCTAACCCCAGCCAGGCAAGGCCATGGCAGCCCCTACGCCCCTCCCCTTTCCATCCGTGTCCGCCCCCAACGTCAGCCTTGTCCTACAGGGCAGCACAGTGAGTCCCCAAGACCTAGTGATGTTCCAGCTCTCCCGATAGCCCTCAGGCAGCTCCCAACAGGCTCCTATTTAAGCTAAACCCCTTAGATTGGCCTCTGAGGCCCCGCCTGATCTGGCCCCGCCCACCCTGCAACCTCATCCCCCAGGTCACCTTCCACCAGCCGGTGGTCTGACCTGGAGAATGGCTGCTGTTCCAGCTTCTGCACCTGCTGCTTCCAGCCCAGCCCCTCTCCCCAGACCTTCACTGGGCTGCCTCTGTAGCTTCTGGCTTAAAGGCTACCTCCTCAAAGAGGCCTCCCAGACCTCCACCCGCTAGAGTAGGCCTGGTGCCCAAGCCCCACTCGCTCTCCTGTTCCCAGTATTCTTTCAGAGCACTTCCTACTCGTGCTGTAGTATAGTATCACGTTCCATCATGGTATGCTATGTTATATTGTGTTGTACTATGTGATGCATATATTGTGTTATGTTCTTTATATGTTTATTGACCATCTCCACCCACCTCTCTAGAATGTGAATTTTATGAGGGCAGGGATTTGTCTTGTTTCCCACGGAATCCCCAGCGCCTAGCACACATTCAGAAAACGTTCACTGAATCATAAAGAGCCAGCCTTGGACTGCATGTGAATTGCTGGATCCCAGGTCACTGGTTAGGTCTGTAGGGACAACAACCACCCTTTCAATGGAATGCCTCTCCCTGGCTTCAGTTCTTCTGTCTAGGCTGCCCCTTTTTGATCTCATCCCAAACTCAACATGTTCAAGGCCAAATGCCCCCCTTCCCCTGCCAGACCTGCCCCTCCTGCCCTAAATGGCTTTTCTAGCTCTGGGACCGCATCACCCTTCACCAGGAGACCCAAGCCGGAAGCCCAAGGGTCCGCCTCACACCTCAGCCAGTTTCTGGGCCTGTGGATGCCACCTCCCGGGTACCCCTCCTCCCACCTGCCTGCCCTGCCCTGCCCTCCCCTCCCACCCAACTCCAAGCCTCCATCTCCCACCTGGGCCACCTCCACAGCCCCCTGGCCTCCCTGCAGAGCTCCCTAGTACCCCATTCTCCACACTCCAGCCTAGAGGGATTCCCCAAAGGGCAAAACCAGTCTCCTACTTGAAATTCTGCCTTGGCTCTCCCTGCCCTCAGGACAAAGCCCCAACTCCTCAGCCTCGGGTCAAAGGCCTGAGCCCTCTCCCCCGACCCACCCCCGTTCATCTCTTGCTACTCACTGCAGCAGCCGGCCCTCCATCCTTCCTGAACTACTTGCAAATCCTACACAGTCCACACAGCACTGCACCTCTAAGCCTTTCCATATTCTGTGCCCCCCACTTGAAACGCCTCCCTCCACCTTTGCTGTCTGCAAACCCAGCCTTCAAGATTAAGGTCAACCATCCCCTCCTGAGCACCCAGGTGGGGTGAGTCCCATAGCACTGTGTGGTAGAGCCCTCTGCTATCATGTCTGCCTCCCCCCACCTGGCTCTGAACTCCCTGAGGCGAGAGGCCAGGCACAGAGGAATACAGGAAGCCTGTCCTTCCAGGCCTGTTCTATATGTCCCACGTCACACTCTCGCCTCCCAGGCACAGCCACAGAAGGGCGGGCTCTTGCGAGAGCCCATGTCAGGGGCTCACCTCGATCGCTGTAGTCATCTACAAGGATAACTTCTTCTAGCAGGGTGTCTGGGGATGTCTCGAGGACACTGTAAACTGTCCGAAGGAGAGTTGACCAGGCTTCATTATAAAATGTTATGATGACAGATGTCGTGGGCAATTGATCATAATTGTATTTCTTCTCTTTGCACCTGCGAACACAACACAACTTCAGGAATCAAGACCCCACTGTTGACTGTATGTACCAGGCCCAGGCTGGTGCTGGAGTGATGAAAGGGACGTAGGTCACGGTCCTGGGGCCTCCCCCTGGGGAATGGCAAATAGCTGCTGGGGTGTTCCAGAGTCCCCCGTGTTCCATTAGGAGACCCAGCAGATTCTTTAAAGTTTTAAATACTTAACGAGCTTGAACTGCAGATGCTGTTTTTAAACTTTAAAGCAATTTTCAGATTTGTGCAACATGCAAACTCAGCAGAATCAGAAGGGAGGGGGACTGTCACTTTTCCCCGCCCAACAGCTCTCCCATCTGTCCACGCCTTTCCAATCCCACTGAGGCCTTTGCTCAGACTGTGCCCTTTCCTCCCTTTCCTGCCTGGCACACTCTCTGTCCTCTTTCAAGAAGAACTCACCCCGCCTTCTCTGGAAAAGTCTGGGGACACCTGTGTGGGGCAGGTGCTCGCCCCTCCTTGCTCCTACAGCACCTTGCCCATGGCTCCGTTTCAGCAGGTGTCACTCTCTGTGCTCCAGAACTCACCACCACTTGAGTCTCCCCCTACCTTCTCCCAGTATCTTTTCTACACTGCATCCCAGCAGGGGCTATGCTTTCAAAGGTGATGCACTGAATGCATAAACTGGAACCATGGCTAGGATGCGTGAACATTCCAGGAAGGGCTCTGTAAAGAACACTGACTACCCCCCAGCCCCCATACCACTGCCACCACCCACCCTCCTGTTCCATTCTGTGGCAGTCTCGTGGTGAGGTGGGGGGCTGAGCCCACCCATCTCTCTGGGGTTAGGGCTTGGCTGGCAGTGATAAGAACCATTTAGGTCCCTCTTTCTTTGGTAGGGTTTTCTGTTACTTTGCACAGAAGGTTCCAGGTTGACACAGAATTCTCTCCTCAGAGTAATGGATGACAAACTCCCAGTGTCATCCCAGGGAGTAGGCAGTGCCTGGAAATCAGGACACGGCTGGCAGCAAGATAGGGGAGGAACAGAAACCCACAAGGGACACCAGAAGGACCAGGGTTTGAAGTCTGGCCTGGCTAAAGGCTAGACCAAGGGATGGGGTGGAAATTCGAGAAGAAGATAAATGTTGAGGACTGGCCAGCCTCCGGGGGCAGAAAGGGAAGGTCTTACAGATAAGCTAAGTGCAAGATCAAAGAGATGGAGAACCAAGCAGGGTGAGGGGTGAAACCAACATCTATTGACTATCTACCACGTGCCAGGCACTGCAGCAGTGGGACCTGTATCAGTCAGTCACCGATCATTTCCTCATCACCTACTATGTGCCAGGCACATAGGCAAAGCCCCTGCTTCCCAGAGCTTACAATCAGGTGGACAATAATCAAATAAGCAAACATATCAATAATTTCAGAAAGTTAGGGTGCCATGAAGAAAAGGAGGGGGATGAAAGAGAGAGCAACTACAGAGGGGAGTAGGAAGGGGGAATGGAGGCAACCACAGAACAGGTAATCAGGGAGGGCCCCTCCAGGAGGTGACATTTAGGATGAGGCCTGAATAATGAGGGACCCAGTCCCACAAAAAGCAGAGGAAAAGCCTTTTGTGTACACAACTTATTTCTTTTTTTTTCTTTTATTTTATTATGAAAATTTTCAAACATGCAAAAAGTAGAGAGAACAGTATAAGAAAGTCCTGTGAACCTTTCACCTAACTTCGGTGGTCCTTAACACATGGTCTTGATTCATCTTTGTCTTCACCCACTCCCCCCATCCCAGACTATTTTTAAGCAAAACCCAGCATACCGCAGCATCCATAAATATTTCAATATATATAGCTAAGAGATAAAGATTCTTTTCATAATGAACACAATATCATTGTAACACTAAAAGTTAGCAATTCCTTAGTGCTATCACATCTCCAGTCTATAAGCTTTCATCAAAATTAATGGTGTGTCTTCCAATGGTCGAAAGACACACCATTCTCTTATGAACCAATAAGAAAGACAAATGCTACCAATCATAACTGCAGGATGCTCTGATTTTAAGAGACATCCTAATTTCAGAAATGTTTAAATATATTTTTTAAAGTACCTTAGAGCAGCGGTACCCAACCTTTTTGGCACCAGGGACCGGTTTCATGGAAGACAGTTCTTCCACGGATGGGGGGTGGGGGGTGGATATGGTTCAGGTGGTAATGCAAGCAATGGGGAGCGGCAGATGAAGCACCGCTCGCTCCCCTGCCGCTCACCTCCTGCTGTGCGGCCCGGTTCCTAACAGGCCCAGGGTTTGGGGACCCCTGCCTTAGAGGGAATTCCCTGGTGGTCCAGTGGTTAGGACTCTGCACTTTCACTGCCGAGGGCCCAGGTTCAATCCCTGGTCAGGGAACTAAGATCCCACAGGCTGCACCATGTGGCCAAAAAAAAGAAAAAAAAATGCTTTAGAATTGATGAAATGTAGTACTTTATTTCACTCTCAAAACCTCTTCCTATGTTAGCATTTACTGTTCCTACTTTAAAGACAAGGCTGAGAGGCGGGGTAGCCTGGACAGTTCTCAGAGCCCCTGCAAGTGTGTATGTACTTGGCTGAACTCCTTGTGTCCCTGTGCGATCTTGTCACAGGGTTCTGGCTCGTGCCTTTGACCCTGCGGGAGGCTCAGGTGGACCATCAGAATCTAAATAAAGATCCCTACATACCCTCTCCTCAACCAGCCCTCCCTCCTACCAAGAAACAGGCAATTTCTCCTCTCATCCCTCTCAGGGTCTTCTAAGTAGCTCCAGGTCCCTTTTCCTAAGCGCCAGGACAGTTTCTGTAGAGGGCTCTGAGGCTACCCAGGCAGCAGCCCAGGCTCTGCCATCACTGGGGTGGCCTTGCCACATGAATAGGCTTATCTGAGAGTCTCTGAGAGGGGCTGGCTCTTCTCAGACCCCTTTACATTCTCATGCCTGCTTCATCTGTAGGCTGGAGGCATGACCATGCTGGTGCCCTGAAGCGATAAGGCATTCCCACCAGCCTTAGCCAGCGGGACCTGAATTCTTGGACACGCTGGTCTTCTGAATCACGGAAGTGGTTACTTAGCGCTGTGCCCCACACAGGGGAGTCCAGCCCACACTCAAGGGGAGGAGAATTAGGCTCCTTCTTTTAAAGGGAAGACTATCAAAGAATTTGTAGGTATATTTTAAAACCACCACACATGAACAGAATGCAGCAGGAGTAACAGTATGTGGCTTCTAAGACCAGGTCATAAGACACCGAAGGTTCCTCTTTGTTCCCTCCCATGGACCATCCAATCTGGGGAAAACCAGCCACTATGTAGTGAGGACACTCAAGTGTCCCATGAACACATCTGTGTGGAGAGGAACTGAGGCTTCTGACAGCCAGGACAGCCCAGACAGACTTTCCAGCATATGATGGGCCATCCTAAAAGCAGATCCTCCAGCCTCAACAGCCCCAATCAAACCTTGAGATGACAAAAAACCCAGGTAGCATTTTGACTACAATCTCATGAGAGACTCCCAAGCCAGACCACTCAGATAACGCACTCACAAATCCTTGGCCCACAGAAATTATGTGAAATAATAAACGCTTATTGCTATTTTAAGTCATTATGTTTTATGGTCACACACGCGCTGAAATAAATCGCAAGGAAACTATCAGACAGGCCTGAATTGACATTTTATAAACCAACAGGCCTGTACTCTTTTAAAAAACGTCACTGTCCTAAAAGACAATGAGAGTCTGAGGAACCATTTCAGACTAAAGGAGACTAAAGAGGCAGGACAACTACATGTCCTACTTGATCCTCAATTAGGTACCAGGTAAGGAAGAAAAAAGTTGCTCTAAAAGTTGGGACAGTTGGAAACATCTGATATTGTATAAATTTCCTGAATTTGATAACTACCTTCATGGTATCATGAGAGAATGTCCTTGTTTTTAGAAAATACACACTGAAGTAACAAAGGATAAAAGATTATCATCTCTGTAACTTATTCTCAAATGTGTATAATATTATAGGATACATATAGAAAGAGAAAAATTAAGTAAATGTGGCAAAATAATGAGTGGGTCTAAGTGAAGGATATAGTGGATTTTGGCTATTCTAGCGAATTTTCTCTAGGTTTGAATTTTTCAAAATTAAAAGTTTAATACAAAAAGAAGAAAAGAAAATTTTTAATGTGGCAAAGGGTGTACCCAAACACCAAGCCAATTCTGACCTACACGTAGCTCAATCTTAGTGGCCCTGTCCAAGGCCCTCTCCTTTCTCACTCATTCCCACTTCTACCAAAACAGCTGCCCTCTGAGGATGTGGAGAAAAAAGAACCCTTGTACACTGTTGGTGGGAATGTAAGTTGGTGCAGACTGTGGAAAACAGTATGGACATTCCTTGAAAAACTAAAAATAGAACTACCATATGACCCAGGAATTCCACTCCTGGGTATATGTCTGAAAAAAAACAAAAACACTAATTTGAAGATACATGCACCCCAAATATTCACAGCACCATTATTTACAATTGCCAAGATATGGAAGCAACCTAAGTGTCCATCAACAGATGAATGGATAAGAAGATGTGGCAGAGGGCTTCCCTGGTGGCGCAGTGGTTGAGAGTCCACCTGCCGATGCAGCGGACACAGGTTCATGCCCCAGTCCAGGAAGATCCCACATGCTGCGGAGCAGCTGGGCCCGTGAGCCATGGCCGCTGAGCCTGCGCGTCCAGAGCCTGTGCTCTGCAACAGGAGAGGCCACAAAAGTGAGAGGCCCGCGTACCGCAAAAAAAAAAAAAAAAAAAGATGTGGCAGATATATACAATGGAATACTACTCAGCCATAAAAAAGAACAAAATTTTGCTATTTGCAGCAATGTGGATGGACTTGGAGGGCATTATGCTAAGTGAAATAAAATAAGTCAGACAGAGAAAGACAAATACTATATGACATCACTTATATGTGGAGTCTAAAAAAATACAACAAACTAGTAAATATAACAAAAAAGAAGCAGACTCACAGAGAACAAACCAG